CCCCCCCCCCCCCGGCCTCCCCCCACGCGCGCCCCTACGCCCGGCCTGGCCCGGCCCGTGGGGCGCAGGACGGCCCCTGACGCGCCTTCTCCCTCCCCGACCCCGTCCGGCCCAGCGGGGACGAAGCAGCACCAGTGCGACGCGGAGCTGCGGAAGGAGATTTCCTCGGTGTGGGCCAACCTCCCCCAGAAGACCCTGGATCTCCTGGTGCCGCCCCACAAGCGTGAGTGCGGGGACCAGGGAGGCTGCGGGCGGCGAGGGGCGAGGGGCGGCCGCCTCCGGAGTCGGTGCTGAGCTGCAGCCTGCCGGGGACTCCGCTTCCCTGGGGCCTCGGCTTCCGTGTGCTGAGCGGAGCCCCTTGCGCGCCTGGGGTGGGGAATGCAAGTTTGGGGGGGGGTGTTCCGGGCAGAGAAGTGAAGGAGGGGAAGGGGCGGCGGGGAAGTGCCTGCCTCCAACCTTGCGTCTCCAGGGGCCAGGGGCAGGGTCGCCTCCCCTGGCAAGGAGGGGGGGCGGAGCAGCACAGAGCCCGAGCCCCTCATGGCGCATCCCCGCTCGGCTCGAAAGCCCCCATCCCAGCGCGGTCCTCGTGGGGGGCGAGGGCAGGCGCGGCTGCCTCCCCGGCTCCACCCTGTCCCCTCCCTCCCCGCCCTTTTCTCCAGCGGATGAGATGACGGTGGGCAAAGTCTATGCCGCTCTGATGATATTCGACTTCTACAAGCAGAACAAAAGCACCAGAGACCAGATCCACCAAGCTCCCGGAGGCCTGTCCCAGGTACCAGGCCCTAGAACTTCCGAGAAGTAACGGTGCTGCCTCTGGACGGTGGGGGGAGGCCCACACCCCTCGTGGAAATCGTGCCTCGGGAGCTGGAGGACGAGGCTCCTGCAGCCATGCTTCTGGCCCCAGAGGCAGAACCCCCCACCGCCTTCCTCCTTCCCGTTGGCCGGGTTCCTGGAGCTTTTGGCGACCCCTGAAACAGAGAGCGGGGCTTCAGGGGCCGGCAATCAGGTGGCGGGCCTGGGCCTGGGCAGTGTCACTTTCTTAAGTGGCAGGAGAGATGGAAAAGATGTGAAGGGTGTTTGAGGAGGATTGATTTGGGGGGTGGAAGGAGAGCTGCTTTCCCTGCACACAGGCAGGGGCCAAAGACATTCAGAATGATCAGTCCAGGGTCAGCGTTCTGCTCCGGACTATGCTGGGGTGGTTTGGGGACCCGCTTTCCTGATGTCACCCTTCCCACACAGCCATTCTGCAGCGACCACATGTAGGCTTTTGGCTAGCAAATGTCTACATGTTCAGAGCTCCTGGGACATTTGCCCAGCCTGGGACGGATAGTATCTGCTGTTTCTGCAGCACCCTCCATTCTGCCTGGGGCAGACATCACTGACCAATCAGAGCAGCCTCCCCAGCCCTGAAATCCCTGAATGCTGCTCAGCGTGGTGCTCCGGGCAGTCCCTACCAGTCAACTCAAGTTGCTGATGAGATGGAGTTTTTCTGCCATCTGTAATCTGGTCCAGTCTATTAGTTGTGTAGGCAGGGAAACAGGCTCTGAAAAGTAGCATGGCTCTTTTGAATTTCTTTTACAGGTGAGGTCACAAGGAGGTTCTGTGCGAGGCCTCTGGCCTGCCTGTCTATATCTGGTCTCATGCTCATGCTGAGGGACACGATGGGAACCACAGAAGCATGTGGCTCTTCGCTGAGGCCAGGGAGCTCTGAGGCAGGGCTTGGGCACAGACTGGCTTCTGTCACAGCCTCGTGGCCAGAGCAGGCTGTTGAGGCCACACTGCGCGTCCGCTGGGGGCCCGGCTTCCTCGGACCTCAGAGCCCTTCCTCCTCCCTTCACCCCTTTTGCAGATGGGCCCCGTGTCCCTGTTCCACCCTCTGAAGGCTACCCTGGAGCAGACTCAGCCGGCAGTGCTCCGAGGAGCCCGGGTTTTCCTGCGACAGAAGAGTTCCACCTCCCTCAGCAATGGTGGGGCTGTGTGAGTAGCCAGATGCAGGACACGGCTGGACGGGCGGGGACCCAGAGCCGGCGAAGGGAGGAAGCAGAAAACTGTTACCTCTACCTTCCTGTCAGTCACTTCCCACTGGCCTCTGAGTTCACCAGCATGGAGGCGCCTGGAGGGGCTCATCTGTCACCTGACCGCACATCTGGGCCCTGGGCAGCCTCTGAGGAGAGCCTTCAGGTCATATCTCAGTTCTCAGGGGCGGGCTCCGCTGTCAGTGCTGCCTGAAAGCTAGGCAAAGTCTGCTGCTGCAAGTGGTCTTTCATTTACTGGGTTGCTGTGGTGGCCTTTAACACGATTTCCTGCTGCATTAGACGGGTGCCTGGCATAACCCGTCCTTCCAACAGCACCGAGACCCGTGGATTTAGACAGTGCCATCATTCCAGTGATGCTTTCTCGCTGTTGTACCTGGCTTCTTCAGAGGAGTGGCCCCTGTCTGCTGTCATTGACCTTTAGTGCCCGCAGACCTTTTTTTTTTTTTGGAGATGGACTCTCACTCTGCCGCCCAGGCTGCAGTGCGGGGCACGCTCACAGCCACCACAACCTCAACCTGCTGGGCTCCGGCCATCCTTCTGCCCCAGCCTTCCCAGTGGCTGGAACTACAGGTGTGCACTACCATGCCCGGCTGATTTTTTAAAAATTTATTGTAGAGATGAGGTCTCGCCAAGTTGCTCAGGCTGGTCTTGAACCCCCGGGCTCAAGGGGTCCTCTAGCCTTGGTCTCCCCAAGTGCCGGGATGACGGGCTTGAGCCACAGACTGCCTGCAGACCTCTAAGACTCTGCCTCCAGTTCCTGTCCTGTTCTGAGACGGGGATGGTGGCCTGTGAGCGTTCTGACCTTCTAACTCCTGAGAGACATTTTTCCTCTTAGATCTCCATTTTGGTGCTGATTTCTGAAGCTGTTATGTTTAACAGACAAATTGGTAAGGTCCTTCTGTATCACTTTACTCTTGCCATGGTGTTTCTTGGTAACAAACCACCCAAAGCCAAGGGACTTAAACAACAATCACTTTTTCTCACTGTGACCCAGAAAATCCGGGTTTCCTCTGGAATCTAGGGAACCAGGTCCTGGGGACTGGCAGCCATCCCTATGCCCACGTTCTCCTTTCTGCATGTTGGCTGGGTGTGCTGGCTCATGCCCATAATCCCAGCACGTTGGGAGGCTGAGGTGAGTGGATTGCCTGAGCCTGCGGGTTTGAGACCTGCCTGGGCAACTTGGAGGGACCCCATCTCTACAATAAATCAAAAAAATTAGCCGGGCGTGGTGGCGTGCACCTGTAGTTCCAGCTACTTGGAAGGCTGAGGAGGAAGGGTTGCCGGAGCCCAGCAGATCAAGGCTGCGGTGGCCGGGAGCGGCCACTGCCCTCCAGCCTGGGCAACAGAGTGAGACTCCAACACCAAAAAAAAAAGTTAAATGATAGATTCTGAGTGAGTGAGTGTGTGTGTGTAGGGTGCAGGGTGCAGGGTGCAGTGAGGGGTCTAGACTTTCGTCAGAAAAGTCAGCTACAGTTCTTTGCCTGATTATAGCTTCTCCCTAAATCGATGACAACTCTCATGTTGCAAGTTGAAGGACACTCGCACTGAGTCAGGTGACAGGCATATCTATAGAGCCATCGAACGAACAGCCTGAGCACACGCCTGACGTGGGGTGACTGACGGTGGCACCAGTGTCCAGCTTTGGGCCTCTTGACCACGCCCTCCCTCAGGGCCAGCCTCTCCCAAGGCTGCTGTCCGCACGGGGTCAGCGGGAGCCCTGCTGCCCCAGGTCGCACGTTGAGGGGGGCATTCTTGCAACCCTCGGAAACCCAGCCACCATCCCTCTGGCCTCCGGTCGTTTCTGCACCCACTGCTGAGATCAGAGAGTGGTCAGCTTAGGCCGTCAGGTTCCATGCCAAGCTCAGCCCATGACCGCCACCACTCACCTGGGGGACTAAGGATGCAGTCAGGGCTGCGCTGAACGTGAGCGGGGACAGTCACCCACACACGTTCAACGCTGGCTGGGCGATGGGGGCTGGGGAGGCGGGTAGGGAGTGCGCGTAGCCTGGACGGCCCACCCCAGCTCCCCAGAGAGATGCCGAGCAGAGAGCTGGAGGACGACTCTTCGTGGCTGGGGCCAGAGCAGTGAGGTGGCCACTGGCAAGGGGCCCCTCAGAGGGAGGAAGCCCGGGTGACACCTCCATGACAGCTTCTCCTGCTGTGCGGGGCACAGCCAAGACTTCCTCAGCGCCTGTCTCCTTACTGGAGCTTCACACGCATGGCCTGCCCTGCTGTGTTGATTTCCTCAGCAGGGACGATTCCTGCTCCCGTGTCTCAGATGAGCCCGTCCAGGGCAAGGAATTTGCCAGATGTCCCCGGTGCCAGGAGGGGTGGGCCCACGCTTCCCTCAGACTGAGCGCTGGGGAGCCAGGGCAGCTCCGCTCTCACCGCATATTGGGCGCAGTCCTCTGATGTGCCTCCGCTTGGTCCAGCATGCGTAGGCCGCACAGGGCTCCTGCGCTCGAGGGAGGGCTCAGCCCCTCCCCAAACAGGGTGACCAGGCCCTGGCTTTGCTGGGTGTGTGGCCCCGTGGAGATTCCTGGTGTTGGGAGTGGCTGTGGGCCTCTGACCCTGCAGGCCGTCCTCTGTTCTCCTCCGCAGACAAACCCAGGAGGGTGGCATCAAGGAGTCCGTTTCCTGGGGCACTCAGAGGACCCAGGACACGCTCTACGAGGCCAGGGCGCCCTTGGAGCGTGGCCACTCGGCAGAGATCCCTGTGGGGCAGACAGGAGCGCTGGTGAGCACCCCAGGGTTGGAGGCAGTGAGACGGGGCTGGGGGACGTGTGAGGCGGGGTGGGGCGTGTGGGGCGGAGGCACCGTCTGGCTGTGACCCAGGCTGTTCTCTCCCCAGGCCGTGGGAGTCCAGATGCAGAACATGGCCCTGCGGGGCCCTGATGGGGAGCCCCAGCCCGGCCTGGAGAGTCAGGGCAGAGCGGCCTCCATGCCTCGCCTGGCGGCAGAGACACAGGTGGGTGGCGCGGGAGGGGTCCGGGCCCCGGGCTGGGGAGTGGGGCCTGGCCTGCGCCTCCCGAGGGTGAGGAGACCTGGCAGTGGGGCGGGCTGGGCCCCATGCAGGCTCTGCTGGGCGGCCACGGCAGGAGGGCACCCGACGCACAAAGCCTGGACAGCTTCAGCCACGTGGCTGCCACGGGAGGCGAGCTGCTCTCGCCGGTGCTGCCAGGGGCGAGGTGCTTCCACCGCCTCAGACCCTGCCAGGGACAGTGGTCCAGGCCCGCGACTCAGGTCCAGCCTGCCCTGGCTGCAACAGTCGGGGCCTTCCACTCCGGTCCCCTCCCTGTGGACTCCTCAGTTCCAGTCCACGCAGCTCTGAAGCCCCCAGGCATGGTTCGCCCAGCCGTCCCCTGGTCTGTGGATGTCCACGCCCTGCCCGATCCCCTCGGCTCCAGTTCCCTGGAGTCTGGTCCCCACATCTTCACCTCCAGGCTCGGGTTGCTCGGCTTTGCTCCTCCCAGCTCTAGGACCCCTGTCCTGCAGCCCAGCTCCTTCCCTCACAGGCCGGTGTCCCCGCAGCTCTGGTCCCCCGTCTCTGGTCCCTCACAGCCGTGGCCTTCCCCGGTCCCTCCCAGCTCTCGCTGGCCCGCCGCGGCCCCCCAGCTCTGGTCCCTGCCCGGGTCCCCTTGTCTCTCCTCCCCTTCATTTGGGGCCCCGCCAGTCTGCTCCCTCAACTGGCCCCCGTCTGGTCCTCCTGGTCAGGCCAGCCTCCGTTCTGGTCCTCTCTAGCTCTGGTTCTCCCTGCCCCCGGCACCCTGGCCCCAGTCTCTTCTTCACGCTGGGCCCCCGGCCCTGGCCCGCTCATGTCTGGCGCTCACGGCTCTGGTTCGCGCCAGCTTCGGCCCTCCTAGCACCGCTCGGCTTCGGCCGCAGTTCCTCGGCTCTCGTCCGCACGTGCGGGTCTCGCCCAGTCTAGCCTCCCTGGCTCCGGGAGCCCCAGCTCTGCTCCCTCAGTCCTTGTCACCCGGTGCTGGTCCCCCGCCCCGGCGCTGGCGCTCCGTTCTGGGCCCCCTTCTCTGCCC